GGGGGTGAGAAAAGGCAGTCTTTTTTTCCACTAGTGCTTAAACGTATTTTGCATTAGACGCTTCATGCTGGCATACTTCTTATGAGACTTAAGTTTTAAATTCCTCTGAGAGGAATACTGTAATTTTTCTAAGCTATACCAGTTTACATACATATTTCATACGTGTGTGTGTGTGTGTGTGTGTGTGTGTAGGTATAGGTATAAAACCTATGCAAACAGCATATGCTTCTGAATGATATGAGTCACACTTAAATTTCCCTAGATTTTGTGGCTAACACACATCTCTGAATATTCTCAAATCATTTGCTTTTACTTAGCCCTGTCTTCAGCGAAAGGTGTGGTAAATTACCTGAGGGCTTCAGAGCACATAAAGCAAGTTACCTGTCATACTATGCTGCTAGGAACTGAAATCTGTTTTTTTTTTTTTAAAAAAAAAAAAAAAAAAAAGTATGTATATATGTGTGTGTGCATATATTTGCATATATATATATATATGCACACGTATATCTTGGGCCAGTGTACTCATATCACCAAGGGTGCATTACTAAGACACAATCTCTCTATTGCTTGTTGTCTCTGGTAAATTACTGCCATTGGGAAATGTGACCACCAGCAGGGTAACTAAGGCAGTAATGTTGAATGTGGTCTGGATGGTCATGGTTTTATATAATGTTCGTAGCAGGTCAAGCACAGCAAAATTCTTAGAATAAATTATTGTGTAACTGTGTCATTACGTGTGTAACCTGAGGAAGAAATGAATTAAGCATTACAATCAGAGCATGCGTATTACAGATTGCAGACTTATCAAATGAAAAATGGAGGAAAAAACAGCCTTCAAGCAGAAAAATTAGAGGAAAGTTAGATAGCCTTTTATTTGATGCTTACTATATGAAAGCTTTTATGTGTAAAAGGTAAGAAGAGAAAATTAGGAAAGATGCTTTCTCTGACTCCATGCTTTGTTCCTATTCCATTATAGATAAACGTTTTCCTTATTATCATTAATATAAAAGGCTATTTATCTTAAAGTGCAAGGAACCTAATAAAGATCAACACGAAATATTTATTACTTTATTATTATTATTTTAAAAGGCACAATAATCTTCCATCAGGAGACATGTATGTGTTCTGTTTCTTTCAGATCTAACTGGTGCTTTTAAAGATTTTTATTAGGATGTAATGAAGTGCTGGGAAAATACATTCATAGTGGCAGGAAAAAGATCTGCATTAATTTAATTTTATATTGGTTTAAGCGTAATAAGCTGGCTTAGTGAGAGCAACTGACAAAATACTTCTGAACACAAGTGGGGAAATACTTACTGAAGAAGTATGAGAGCAAAATATGAAGAAAACCCAACAGAGTGGTGAGAATGGTATGTGTAGAACCATACAGGAGAGCAAAGGCTTTGAGGGCATATCTTTAAGCAAACTTGCCTAAATATTACAGAATTTTGATTTTTTTTTTTTTTTTCCATGTAAGTGATTTTATGGATTTTAGTAAATGAGTAAATGTACAAGAAAATCTAAATAAGAGACCTAGAAAACTTACACAATTTGATCTTTTTAGAAAGCTTAGAAATGCTAATTTCAAGCTTTAGAAAGCTTGAAATGTAGATGGAAATGTATTTAAGAAAAAATAATGAAATACTTCACCTTTTCCTCCTCGTATGAGAAATCTGAGTTTGGAGTCTGCTGTGTTAATGCTCCAGTCCTATGTTCATTTCTATAGTTCATCTACATGCTGGTTCTGTTTAATAGCAGGGTTTAAAAAATATTATAATAGTAATGATAAGCAAACTTGATTGAAATCATTCAATGCACTGGCACCAGAAGCCCCTTACTTATTTTGGAGTATAATTACGACAGTGAGAAGTTTGAAAGTTCTTGAAACTTCCTCTGCCATGAGCAGGGAATATGGGTTTCATCCCACCTAGCCATATCAGGCTGCCACATAGTAGTTCTGCATGTTTATATCATCAATGGGAAAATGTAGGCAATTGCAGGCAGCAGCTCCTGCCCTGCAGCTCAGATGGTGTCCACACCAACAAAGCCCAGCCATGGAGATCAGATGGTGCCTTCTGCGCTCAGTAGCCCAGACTGCTGCAGCAAGCTGTTGGATTTCCACAAGTTACTGACCACCATAACAGGTGGTAGAGTCACCATCCCTGGAGTTGTTCAAGGAGCACATAGGTATTGTACTGAGGGATATGGTTTAGTGGGAAATACTGGTGATAGGTGGATGGTTGGACTAGTTGACCTTGGAGGTCTTTTCCAATCTTGGTGATCCTATGGTTTTATGATTTTATGAAATTACTAGTCCAGTATGCATGAGATAGTTCCCAGAAACTGCAAAGTTGTGTCATTTCTCTTAAATCCAAGGACTTGCCCTCACTGTGCTTTCTTTCTTATGTTTTTGGAAGGGTAAAATGTTACAGAAAAAGTTTCTTAATATCTTGTCACAATTGTGAATTGTTTCACAAAAAACGTTTTTCAGGGAAGAGTTTATAGTTTGGAGCTGCTGCTTTGCCCCAGATTTCTTAGTTCTTACTCAGTTGAAGCTCCTGAAGGTCATCATAATTCTTTTTGTTAATAGAAGAAGCCTAAAAATTTGGAAACATATGTCGATAGATGAAGATTTGGTGGGAGTTAACAAATCAAAATTTTAGGCATTGCAGTTAAGTTTATATAAACTTATAAAGGGGATTGATTTACTTCTATGGTTTCCTGTTAAATCCATCTGTATTTATAAAATGCCTGAAGCATCCTTAAATTCCTCTTGTGTTTCAGACATGACAAAGACATACATGGGGCTCAATTCAATCATACTTCAAGGCTTTTCTCTTGAAATTTCTGGACACGGTATGCTTTAATTACATGTCAGTATGAATAGAGCTACAGAAGGGCACTCCTCAGACAGAGCAACTGTCATCTACTGCCACTGCCATAAGTAATTTTCATTTGCACTCTTTGTGTACTGGTTGTTGGATACAATATGGGACTTTGAATTGCAGCATAAAAGCAGTTCTCACCTCTTTCCCCCATGTCACTGTTGGTAAGTTTTAATTGTAAAAGATGCAGTAGATGGAGTTTTTCCTCTCAGCACTGCTGTCCTATTTTCCTGTGATATCCCCTGGGGATCTAAGATGAGTTTAAGTCAGTCCATTTTTTTCTCGACTGACAGAACAAATGTTCAGATGCTTTAAAATTTAAAGAGAAAAATACAGAGATGGGTGGACCAGTTCAGAAGAGGTAGAAAATTCTGATGCAAATTAACAACCTTCTTTTTTTGCTTGCTTGATTGCTTCTGTGTTGTTTTTGTTTGCTTTTAATTTTCTCTGATGATGTTTTATGTTCTGGAAGCTCAGTATTCTCAGTTGCCTCTGCCGCATCTGAAGAGGAAATCTGTGGCACTGAGGACCTGCAACCAGCAGAGAGAATTCAGTGATGTGAACTTTGCCAGGAACTGCACCTATGTGCAGAAGACTCTTTGCATGAAAATTATTTTTGTGACACAGCTTAATGCTCATTAATATTTATGAGGTAACATAGCTGCTTTGCATGGATTGAAGAAAATTCCCAGTTTCAAGGATGTTTGTTTCTTGCTTAAAAAGAACCATGTGAGAGCTACTGTGGTGAAAGTTTTGCAGTTGGGAAAGCAGGGCAGAAAGTACAAAACTGAGTTGCTAAAAATATTTAAATATATTTTCTGTTTCTATGAGTATTTTCTGTTGTTCTATTCACATATGTTTCTCTGGAAGTAATGCCTCCTATTTATTTCCGTGTAAACCGCAACAGATACAAAGAGTACAACAACATTATTTAATGGAGCACGTTCTCAGCTACTAAATGTTACTTTCTTACACAGTCACCACTATTAGCTATGCATTTTGGTCAGCAATGAACAAAAGCCTGTGTGCTGCACTTGTGACCATCTGCACCAGTGGAGATGTTGCACTGTCACTGCAGAATTGTACCTCACTGTGCTCGCACCCACTGGTTGGTCTCCATAAACATTCGGTGAATGTCAGTGGGTGCTGTGGAGAAATTCAGTGCCATGCCTTTGCTTCATGCTCACTTCTATGTCAGATGCCATTTTATCAGGGCTGCCTCTCTGCTACCGTCTTTCACACGGCAACAAAAGGTAATGGAACACTGGTGGGAACGTTCAACCTCTGCTGCCATACCACCTCCATCTGATGGCGTGAGCCAGAATCATAAAATAGGAGGCATTACTTTTGGAGCAGCACTCGTTCTTCAGAACAGTTTAACAGAGAAGCAACGCGGTGACTCGTCTTTGTGGCGACGCGGTGCTGTGGTTGGCTCCCTCAAGTGCTCTCAGATCCATACACTTGCTTGGATTGTCTTAATTTGCACTGAGTGGCGTTACAGATCCAGAATGGGGTGACAGAAGCGCTCCGAAGCAAAGCCTTGCTAGAAGGGCGCTGCGCGAAGCAGCGGCCCTGGCTTTGCTGCAACCCACCGAGGGCTCAGCCTATGGTTCTCGCGCCCTCGGGTCGCTCCAGGCTCGCGGCAGAGGTCGCCGTCTCTGGGAGCTTATCGGGCTCGCCCCGGGCCATGGCACGCTGTGGGGCGGTGGGTCGCGTGCGGGGCCGGAGCTGCGCCGCGTGCAGGTGGGTAACGGCGCGAGGATGCGGAGCGATGCCGGCAGCACCCCGCTCTGCTAAAGCTTCCCTCAGCCGAGCGCTGCGCCCACCCTCGCCCGGATCCTTTCACGGGCAGAGCCTGACGCCTTCCGTTCCTCTAGGAAAACGAAGCGTCCGGGGCACGGCACCGCGCCGTGGGGGGGACCCGAGCAGGCGGGCGCCGACTTCGAGCGGCGAGGGGGGGCCCGGCGGCGAGGCGGGCGCTGCCATGCGGCGGGGGGGCGGCTCCGCGGCCCGGCCTCCGCCCAGCCCGGCCGGCAGCGAGGCGTGAGGGGAGCGCCGCCGCCGAACCCTGCCGCCCCGTCGTCCGCCACAGGTAGGCACGGGGGGGTGCGGGCGTTACCTGCCCGGCCCCGAGCGCACGGAGGCGTGTGTGTGTATCGGGGGGGAAGCGAGCACCTCGACTTTTGCGGAGGAATTTCTTGTGCGGGAGGCGGGTCTTGGGGGACTGCAGGTGAGGCGGAGGGGGAGGATGTCGCGGCTTGGGATGGAGGGGCCGGGGGTGCTGGGACGGAGGGCTGAGAAGCGGTGGGCAGGGGCCGCGAGTTTAGGATAGCTGCGTTGCCGCCACTCTGCCAGCGAGAAGCGGAGGAGCCTCAGGTGGAGGTGCTTCCTGAGGGCTCCGCCGGGCAGAGAAAGACGTGGGGTGTAGTTGCTCTGCTCCGAACGCCTGTGTCCTTAGGCCCCGCTCCTCAGCACGGGAGTCGCAAACCTCCCCGCAGGGAACTCAGCCTGCCGGAGAGTGCGTTCTGCTTCTGCAAGTTTTCACTTCCTTTGCTTTGTGCCTCGCCCTTCTCTCCTTTGCTGCGCTCTTGGCTCTGTTCGACTGTGTTCAGAACGACCTGCCTTGTTCGAGGGAGCCTCTGCCGGGAAGAAAAAATAAAAGCCCTCAAAAACAAATGCTATCTTTGTTTAAAGGTATTTGCGGCTCAAGGTTGTGACTTAGCTGTGGAATTGCGTGGTTCGTCTTTGCTTATATTGAAAGCACAGTTGTATGTTAAAATAATCAAAGCTGTGAAATAGCAAGGCTCAAATGCCTTTTAACACTCATACGGTCTCCTGCATCAGCTCCAGTGATCAGAGACACTCCAGCTCCCTCCGTGGGAAACTGGGAGTTCTTCCACAGCCGCTGGCACAGATGGAGTAGACGACAAGATGGGTTAAAATAGGAATTGTTTGCGCTGTTTAAAAGTTGCAGCTAATGAAGCAGAGTGCCTGCTGGTAAATTCCTAGGTTTGTTGCTGGATACCACTGTGGGAGTCGTCAGTCTTTGGTGGGGAAGTTATCAGGTCTTTAACACACTTGAAACGCAGAAAGTGTTGAAGAGAAACCTACATAGATTTCGTAGAGTGAAAGATCTGAAGTTTCAGCTGTACTTCGGGATACTGTAGGACATTAACTTTGCCTGCATCTTCTATACTAAGAATACAAGGACTCCAGTTAGACTCTCAGAAGTCAAATGAGAGCACAAACCACAGGGGAGCGGAGGAGGCATCGGTGATCAGTTCCTTGCAGTGGCAAGAGGGGGTTAGCCAGAACCCAGTTAGGAAAAGCACTCCCAAAGCTGTAGAAGGGGGAAAAAATGGCCTCAAAGAGCTTTGCTCAATAGTGGCAGCACTTTTTTGAATCCCACATTTGATTGCCAATGTGATCTTACATGGGCAATTGCATGTTAATATATAAGGCATCACCCAGGCATTTGCAATGATTTTCTCCTAAGTCTGAAAGTTTAGAAGAATTAAGTTGGAAAAAGTAGTTGCTGATTTTGATGGCCAGGCTTGAAGCAATGTTTTCTTTTCCTGGTATTTTGCTGTAAACTAGAACTAAAAGCCCATGAAGATGTGGCTGAGAGTTCTGGCCACATCTGGTTCTTTGCATTGATTCTGACTAGCTCTTTTGATTGTCCTTTCTTATCCCATAGCACTCATGCTTTCCCTTGCTGTTTAGTCCAGAATAGACTAAATTTAAATTTAAATTCCTTGGGTTGTTTTTTCTCCCCCTGCTCCCCATTTCAACTCTTCTTCTCCCTGTGTTTGCACTTCTCTGTTTCTCAGCTGAGGCTGAGCTGGAGCTTTCTTCAGCTCAGGAATTCCTCAGATGCTGCAACCTCTGGGTTACTTCTTAGCTGCCCTACTCAGAGCTAGCCCCTGTCCTCCTGCAGCCTTCTGTTTTTCCTCTCCACCTCTCTTCCTCTCTTTCTTTCTTCTTCCTCAGCTGTGCTGCATGTGGAGGAAGGTTGTGGCTTCATCCCTTGAGGATGTGCCTTGGGCAATGTGTGTGCATGTCAGGTGTCTGGGATGGGGACATGGACACTCCTTCAACAGCCCCATCAAGAACTGTCCGAGGAAGAGAAAATGAATTATGCAAGAGACTCCGGTGGCTTCATCAAGTTTCTTTCTTAAGTTTCATCAGCAGACTTCAATTTCATTGCTTTGGAGGTCAGACTGTTGTGTTAGGGAGCCTGATGAGCATTTGCTGTGTGACAGAACTGCAAGTTTCCAGAGGAGCCCCGCAGAGCCCCAGCATGACGTAGGTGTTCCCATCAAACTACTTTTCCATTAATTAAAAAAGTAGGCACCCTAGATAGTGTGAACTCTTTGATGAGGACATTAGAGGCAAGTTGCTTATCTTCAGCATTATCATTTTTTTTCCCAGCCTTTATTTTTTACATGTAAGTTATTCTTGACTCTTGCCTGTCTGGAAAACCTCTGCTGTAACCTACAGGATCATCACTGCTCCATTTTCTAACTTCTCAATCTCATTCTAATCAAGAATGTAAATACATGCATAGTGATTTGCATGTCATTAACTTCAGAAATAAACAGTCATGCTAAGAATCAGGTTTTTTTTTGAATCTAATTTTCTTGCCTGTCTGAGAAGTAGCACCTGGAATTCACAAACCAGGATGTCTGAAAATATACTTTCCACACTCTGCTCTTTACTTTCTACATTTTTCACTTTGGTCTGAGAAAAAAAAAAAATCATTTAAAAAAATATGGTTATGGGGATTTTTATAACAAGTTTCTCTCTTAAATCTTCAATAAAATGCTTTGCAGGTTTGTGAAGGCATACAGCAATAGAAAAATATATTTTAAAGTGAAAATTTTAGCACGGTGTGTAGTTACACACATGTTGCTAGCACTGATTTCCTTGTGATCATTTGTGTACGCAGTGTCTGATGTAGTCCAGAGATTTCAAGGGAAGATCCTGTATCTGTGGACAGGCACGTGCTGATTTTGAGGAATTCTGGGAGACCAGAGGGAAACTGATGTTGTCAGAAGTGGGTCTTGAACTTCGCTTTCCACAGCACAGAGCTGTGGAAGACACTGACAGTTCAGGCTGCTGGGCTCTGCATGGAGCAGTCCATAGACGAGGCTGTGACGCAGGCACTCTGCCAACAGTTTGCACAATTGCTTTTGCTTGATGTCAGAGATGCTGAGAATAAAAATTTGGGGGATTCTTGCTTGATTTTGGAAGTGATAGCCACAGAAATCTGGAGGAGTTCCATTTATGCTATCTTTAAGAATGAGCAGATGTGATTTAATTCGTATTAAAAACCTGAGATGTGAAATGGGCCTTTGCTATGCATCATTTGTGCAGAATTCAAGTCTTGTTTTAATAGGCTGCCATCAAGCCAGCGAGCCTGTAAGCCAGCAGGAGGTTACTTTGGATCAAAATGCCATGATGTATAAGGACCTTCCCCATCTGAAATGGCTCATGGCCTTTCAAAACAGGATTATCAGTAGGGCTGCAAATGCACTGCCTTATACTCTTGATAGAAATGCATATGTCGGACCTCTCTGAAGCAAAAAGAAATTGCTAGTGTTGGTGATGATCCAATATAGCAGCTTTAACATGCCTCTTCTTTCAGGAAGGATGGGAAAACAGTGTACAATGTTTTGCTACAAAGAAAGACCTACTTTTAAACAGATGAGATAAAACATGAGGCAAATTGTGGATCAGATTTAAGTTCAAATTCTATTTGAAGAAACATTTTAATCTTCTTTGCTGTGTCACATATAGCATATGGTTTTGTCTGAAGCCTTGGATGCAGTAGTTGTACTTCATGCTCAGCGTCGTTTCAAACAAATTTCTGTAATAGAAGTAAATGGTTTATCTTTCACTTGAATACCCAAACTCTGTTTGGATGCCAGGAGGAAACCAACTGGGCTATTATGGGTTTTTTTGGTGTAAAAAAGTGTGGGAGAGTTGTGCTCGTGTTCTCGAGTTCGTTCTGGTGTGTAGGGTCTGTTGTAACGTAGGGGGAGACGGGCATTGTGCTCAGCAGGGGGAGTGCTGCCGGGGTCTCTATAGATATGCGTGGCTGAGCAATAGGATGCTTAATGAGGGGATGATGAATGAAGCAAAGAGTGCCGTGCCAACACCTTCTTATAGGCACCGTAAACAATCACTGGCTTGTTTTGAGATAATGGCCTTAATGTTCAGAGTCTGTGGCGTCTTTCTGTTGAAACTGTGGTTGAATTCTTGTGCAAAGGACTGACAAGTATAGTTAATTTCAAATGTTTCCTTTCTATGTTTAGCTTCTGTATGTCTCTGATTCAGGTTTTGGTAAAACTTAGGCGTAGGCATAAGTTTGCCATTGCAGTTTCAGCTTCAGTGTTTGCCTGCTTTTTGTTAACTCAATTGTATTGATAAAATGGAGCAAGTACTTCACAAAATTTGATATTTGTAATGAGGATGCTATCATTTAGGAAATAGAGTTTTGGGACTGAAGAACTTTTGATTACAGAGGAGTGTGTCTGAGTATGTTTTGAAAGTAAACCTCAGAAAACAGTTAATTGGTGTTTTTGTGTTCAACGTTGAGGCTGTGAAGCTATGACACAGGCTGAGCCAGCTGTGTGAGCTTTGCATTTGACATATAATCACCAGAGGATAGCAGAAAATACGTTCAGCAGTCTTTATTCTGATTACAAAAGTACTCTTCCTTTAATTTGTGTTAACACTGCAGCATAAATATTTTATATCCTCCAACCATTCTACCATCATGACTCGTATCTGGGGATGTGAGAAAAGGCTGTGGATCTTGAGTAGTCCGGGACTTCTGCAGAGCAGCCTTCCACATTACTGAGTCTCAGCTTGGGAGATGCGTTCCTGTGTCACGTGCAGCAGCTGCCAAGCACTCCTGTGCTGGGCTGACTGGAATGAAGCTCAGCTGGAGTATGGAGAGGAAACAGGGTAGCGGAGGAAAAGGAACAAAGGTGACTGATACTGGAGGAGAGAAATGACGGAGAGTGAAGTATTGCAGCTACGGTGCTGTACGATGTTAATCACAACCAACAAAAAGGGTTGAGAGTAGTCTGGGAAATGTGGGTAAAATTAATCCGTGTAAAAGGCAACCAGAGAAGTGTTAGAAAAAGTCCTTAAAATATCATCTATTTTATCAGTCTGGTAAAAGAATTTTTTACCGGTTAAAACTAATGTCTCTGTTTCCCATCTCCTCAAGAAATGTAAAATACTTCCCCAAACTTAACTCTCACTTATACATTCTTTTGTTTCCATCATTTCTGATCTGGCATTCAGTTTCTTCATTAGCTGTGAAAGTCTCAGTTGGTCCACTGCACAGCTGAAAGTCTTTGTTGTTGACTGTGATGTAAGGGACTTGGAGAACCTTGCTCCTTCTTAGGAAACATCCCCAGAGCCTGCTTTAAGAATTTTTTGTAATAAGAACTCTGAACCAGTCCTCCTAGTAGCTCAAGGGCTCACTGGTAGTACATGACACGTTGGGTTCAAACTCAGTTTTAACAAAAATGTAAGCCATAACCAAGCTAGTTATATAATGAAAAAAATTGATGTAAGATTTTAATGGGTACAAAAGGTGCTTTTGTTTTGACAAAAGTCAATGCTTAGATCCCAGCAAGCTATTTTAAAAGAAGAGCTGATGGCAGAAACTGTGATGTGCAGTTGGCTGTTAGTGATATACGTTGACATTCCGTATATATGTGTTTTGAAAGTGGCTTTTCCAGTCAAGGGGAATAATGTGAACACGTTGCAGTTGAGTTAACATTATAGCAGTGTGGTTAAAATTGGCGTATGCTAATATTTTCCCAGACTCCCACTATTTTCAAATGTTTTACTGACCACTGTAATAGCTGGAGATCTTTTTGTATAGTCTAAAAGAATAGATGGAGTTCCTCTAGTGTGTTGCTGCCCTTACTAAGTTATAGACCTGCAGAATTCCCTCCTGAAACTGCCCCAGTGCTGCCCAGTGCACACGGTGCTGCTCAACTCCTCTACCTGCATTAATGGGAAGGGGCTCTCGAAGGACATGGCCTGATGGCAAATAGGGCATGACAAAAGCCCTGCCACTTGCCAGTGCTTCGATGCTAGCAATAAGAGTAAATGTTGAACTGGCAGATGACTCTTTTAGACCAGCTGATTTCCAATTAATCTCCCCTTACAGCATGCATCCACCGTAACAAGCTCAGTAATTTGACCCATTAATTTAGTCTAGCATGTATGCATATCTGCGACCATTATTACTGAAAACAGACTTCTAAGTACATTATATGTGATTGTAGTTGCATGAAACATTACATCACTCTTAAATGATATCTATCCAATTAGACAATATGCCCATAAAACATGACTTCAGTGTAGTATATTGTTATTGCTTTTGTTATTGTACGTTGCTTTAATCAGATGGCAAAATGACTCTACCATCAGTGCAGTGGACTGTACAATTTCTGTCTTCTCAAGGAAATATTAAGATAGAATTTTCTGAAGCATATTATAGCCTGAAAAACATAAACAAGAAGATGATACCCTTTCCCACTACCAATAGTCACATATTTTTTTTTTACATGAAGTATTTTCCTAGGGTGAAAAAGAAAAAAAAAGTGACTGCTGGTCAATTAAATTTTTTTAAACTTTATCCTTTATCTATTTTTCAGTGAGAAAGCCTTTGCTTTAACTCTCAGTGGCTGGAATTGATGTAGAAGCTACTAGAAACTTTATAGAAAAGTTGGTGTGCAACAAGAAGAGGATACACATTTAGCTCAGTAATTGTCCCTCTCCTGTCACGTGCTGATATCCTGTTTGGATTAGAGCTGAAATAGCTGAGAACATTAAAAAGAAATGACAATGTTTTTTGGTAGACCTGTGCATTTCTGGTGATTACAGCTTATAAGCATCTGGTTCACAACAGCACTGTGAGTCAACTGAGGGCATCTAAGAGGAGGCAGCTGGACAAGGACCTTCAAGTGCAGGGAGACTTGTCTGCTTTTGTGCTAGCCTACTGTTCTTAAAACAAGGAGGGAGTAGGGAATAGTTACAGGGCTTTACTGCTTCAAAATACTGCTTCAAATTAAAGGTTGGTTCAGTTTTATCAAGCTTCAGTGATCTAAGTGCCTTCTGTTTCAAGTGCAGTGAATAGTCCTTATGAAAGGTTCTATGGCTCAGCTATCTCTACAGGGCAAGCATCTCTCTTTTGTCTTCTCTTTTCTACAATGTGTCTAAAAACCATTGAGTAAGTCAGCAGTCTGCTGAAATTTCATGCTTCTCCCATTTCTTGCTTCCAGTCCTGCTGTGGCTTCACCAGTTCCCCCGCCCATGCACTGAGACCCATCAGGAGAAGCAGCCTACAGACTTGCAAATTGCCCCACCACCCTGAGGTAAGGCTATGCGGCAGTGAGAGACCACTCACATGGGCTGAGGAAGGAGGGATCTCTAGGCCAGGACTGAATGCTCATGTTGACTGTTCATCCTACGGCAGTGCAGTAGTGCCACTTTCTTTCCCCTTGTGATGACTCTGAGATGGCTGGGCACTGCTGTCTTCTGAGTAGCTACAGCTACATGGGGACACTCACAGTGACAGTGGCACCTGAAGGCTTGCTACAGCTCCCACTGTATTGATGGTTGCTGCAGGCCATCTCGGGAGTTTGTCCTCTGATGTCTTGCCGAGGTGTTATTTGTGCTTCGCGAACACTGTGAGCACCACCTGCAAAACTGAACTTGACCTACCGTTTTCCACGTGATGAAGATGCATTATGGAAGAAAAAACATTTTTATATTTAGTCCTGCTGTGTGAACCAGAAAATTTTCTTCACCTTGCCATCAGCATAGCATTTACCTGATAGAAATTTTTCCCCTGAATAAATATTTAGAAATGTTATGACGGAAGGAGTAGCTTTTAACAAATTAAGCTTTTTACTTTGGCCTTTGCAGTTCTACAGTCAGGCTTGGGAAGTGAAGTTTTTGTACCTCTATGAATGCCGCTTAGCTTGTCAGTTATCTGTGAGATGAACACATAGGATAAAACAGTGTGAAATTTGTAGACTTCGAAGCCCATGAGGCACATCTGAGGAAAATAAATGTTTATTTTTTATACTTTGACATCCCCAACTGGTGTCAGCAGCTTGGCAGAAGTCAGTTATTTATACCACCTCAGAACTGGATTCAAAACAATAAACATCGATGCAATTTCAAATGAAAACTTAAATTTTTATTAGGAGTTCTCTCTGTTGTGGTTATCTATTGATTTGGTATGACTTTCTCTTCTGTCTGGACTGAAACACTGAAGGTTCTTGTGAAAATTCCCTCACATGAGGCTTCAAATTGACAAGAAGGATGTAAAACTCCATGGCATCAAACTCATCCTTTTTTTCTATTCCTTTCTATCTAATCAGTGATAGCTGCTGAACCAGATGGGACAAAAGATACAATGATAGGTAGGCTGAACCTAGCAGTTTAACAATGTGCCTGGCTCTCTACATTTTTAGCAGAAAATACACACTGATGTTTTTGTAGAGTTTGTTCATATTTGCTATTTTTATTCAGAGTAACAAAATATTGCATACTATAAAATGACAGGTGAAATAGTGTATTAATTACATGCATGTTTACTCATGGATAAGATTAAATAACTTTAAAACTGAAAATAATAATATACCAAGGTCCTCAGAAATCCACATTTCCTTATTGATTATCTGCAAGTGTAAAGTGGTCCCAAAATGTATTGTCTAATTTATAATATTAATTTATGTTGCACACCAGTGTAACTATTAACTCAAGCCTTGCTCCACAATATTGTCATAAAATATTTTACTCTTAATTTTTCCTCTTGTCCAGTCTAGCTCACTGTTCTTACAGAATTTCCATATCACTACATTTGAATTGCTGATGAAATTACTGCTAGGTATTTCTAGACCTCTCCAATTTGGTCAAATCTTGCTCTGACAGCTTTTAATTTTTATTTTCCTGTTTGAACTGAAAGATAGTTTTTGATTTTAAGTTTGGAAACATTGGATTATTATTATTGTTATTATTGATTTTTCCTAAGCAGTTTATTGTGGTTTAATCTCTCGGTAAATATTTGTGATATTTTAGAAAAGTTGTAGGCTTAAAGTATCACATATACAGGCTTGTAAATATGTCATCTTGGAAAGGTGTTGGTCCAACTGGTCACCAAAAGAGTGAGCAAATTACTTGTTTTCTAGACCTTCACTGACATGCCATTGGCATGAAGATGATGGCTTCTGGGTAAATATTATATCTTTCCCTGTGTAATAAAACAATTCTGTGATCGTAGAATCAGATTCACAGATGCAAAACAACATGAAAATTAAGCTCAGGATGAAAATGAATGAAAATAAGCTAAATTCCTGCTTTAGACAAACTTTCATTTTCCACCAAATCTGCAGAATCCCATCTGTGGGAGAGTTTGGGTCCCGTTAGGCACTTCTGTCTGGTGTAAAGGTTCCCAATTTCTGAAATATCTGAAGTTTTTGTGTGCCTGGGCTGTTTAGACTTAACTCGCAGAATAATTTTAACAGTTTCTCACAAACTGTGTACAAGTGTTGCATTTATAGTTGCAAATACGTAGAAGAATGTTTGTGTTGCAGTAGCACCTAGAGGTGTTAAACAGGTGGCAGCTTGTCCTGGAGTGTGGTGTAGAGAACATTGGTTTTGCTTTGACAATTGCCTGGCTTAAATTTAACAAGGAGAAAAAAAACCCCAAATCTACTGCGATGTGAAAGGTATTCACTATCTGCAATCCTGCTGTAACAACATCTGTGCCTAATCTTGTCAGTTCAAACCATTTTAGTGCTATTTTAAAATGAATTAATATATCTATAAGAGATTCTTGAAGATTACTGTGTTTGTAGAAAACCAGTCCTGTAGTCTTCCAAGTGAGCTCATTAGGGAGTAACAAATATTGGCTGCAATGTGCTGCAGAAATAAAAAGCTTTTCTTATGTGGCTATCATGCAAACTTGATACTTCTGTTATAAGGCAGCCTTGTGAGGCTGGTGCAGTGGATGCCATGCCTTGTACTGGACCTGCTTATATAAAGATTATTTTGTTGATGCTTATTTTTGTTTCAGAGTTCTTAAGGTGATTGTAGTTTTTTGCCACTGTAGAACAAGTAAGAGATATCTGTCGGCAAACACCTGGGCAGAGGTTTCTTAGGTGGTGATGGAACACGTTGCCCCAAGGTTCAGCCAGTGAGGTCTACTAAGTAACATTGTTAAGGTGATCTGTTCTTTGTAAAATGCTTAAGTTTAACTACTGTAAAGAGAAGAGAGAGGACTGGCTTACAAAATGCTGTTTCCAATTTCTTGAAAAGGTTGAATGTGTGTTTCAAAACCAGAGAAGATGAAATTGTGTATAAGCTGTGCACAGCTATGTAGCTTGGGAAACTTTTTCCTCTTGTTTATTGCTGTATCCCAAGCCATAGTTATGGCATCAATCCCAAAATAAGGCATCAGTAAAGCTCAAAGTTTTTCTGTAGTATATTTAAGTTAGATTTTACTTTGTCTTGTCCAAACCCTTCTGTATAATCAATAGATATCAAGACATTATAATCACAATATAATTGTATAATCAATAGATATCAAGATGTTATAATCACAATATAATCAAGAGAGTTAGGCAAAATAGACAACGATCACAAAAAGAGAATAGGTGGAAGAGCTTACCCTTTGGCTGAGCTCACCACAAAACACCAAGAGAGGTGATCTCCAGAAGAGATCCTTCCCTCTGGTAGCCAGCTCTTAAATAGGTCTAGGAGGGGTGGAGCCTGGCTTTACCCCTTCTGGCAGCACAGGTGAGTTGCCTTCACCTGTGCTCCTCTGGCTGACTCATGGCTCGCCTCAGGTGATCAATCAGAGGTTCAGGCCGTGACTCAGTAGTTCCCATACACCTTCACTTCCCCTTTGCCAAGAAAAAATCTTTAACCTCTATGGCTTTTTAAAATTTCTTGTTTACTGGTTTGCATTTCAGATTTTCTGGGAAGATTGTTGTTAGAAATGTCATTGGTGGCTGTGTGATAAAGGAAGTGTAATCTACCAAAGGCTTCAGTAAAAGGTTTATCCCTCTCTCAACATAAATTTTACAGGCGGTTGAAAATAGAGGCTGTAAAACCTTCAATCTGGGCAAATACAGGAAAGAGGAGGGCAGAGCAGCTGTTCTTCTGCGCTGGGCACATATGGTTAAGAAGATCAAGTTATATGTGTTTGAAGTGATAAGTATAATAATATGCCTCAAGTTTGACAGCAATTTAGACAAAGTCTCTTTCCATATTCTGAATCATCAAATAATGACCACACAGAGGTGTAAACAAAATTGTTTAAAGCAGGTAACTCTGAACTCTAGAGTTCTTGAGGTTATAGCCTAGCTGCTCAGCAAGTCTCACACAAGCAGCTTGGATGCTCCTACAGTGGATATACTTCAGGGGAAAGGGAAGAGGCATGGTAAGTCTCTATATACCTTTTCTGTAATCCACCTGTTTTATTTTCAGTTGCCTAGGGAAATGTGGATGAAACATACAGCTCAGTCCCAGATGTCTGCATTTCAGCTATGTTATGGAAGGCAAGATTGCATATTGTATTGTAATATGTGTTCTAATTTTAAAGGATACTATTTTTAATTTTTAGAGTTCTACACTGTGCAGGGCATCAACAAGAAGGTCCTAAGAACAGGACTGAAGGCTTTTCAGCTATGTAAAAACTTAGTCTGACAGTTCTTTTACACTGTATATCTCTGCATCTCATGAAAGACAGAATGGAGTTGGACAAGGTACAAAGGCAGAAGAGGCCATGACTTCAGTTTGGAGAGGAGAAGGAAGAGAGAAATGAAGTTTTGAAAGTCATGAAGGCAGTGGATTTACGTGTGTGTGGAACTGTTGTTCATTGAGTTCTGCAACAGGAGTGCTAAAACCTGACATTTCTAGTTAAAACTAGTAGTGTGGTTTAAAGCTGATAAAAGAAAGTTCATTTCTTTGTACGGTGGATACTGAACTTTCAAAAATAGGTGCCATAGGCAGGCGTGGGAGCAGACAGTACCATTAGATTCAAAATGGTATTAGAGAAATTCATGTACTGCAGTTCCCTGCAAAGATGCTAACTGGACTTGACATGGATATGCCCTCCAATATCCCTTTTACAATTCTTAATGCCGAGGAAGCCAAAGGGAGAAGTTGACAGGAGGTGACCAGGTTTGCTTGAGCTTCCTCTTGTCATCATCAGAGATAGGACACTGGGGTAAATAATCATTGGTCTGACTGTAGAATAATGTGTTTTAAAATAATTAATGGATTAGTGTTCATCTCTAAATATGGCTGTGTTGATCTCAATACAGAAGACAGAGTGAATGTCCTAGAGAGGTCATCCTCT